CATCGAAGTACAAATACCTCCCCTTATATCATGTATTGATGAAATACATATACCTCCCTATATCATGTATAGATGAAGTACATATACCTCCCCTTATATCATGCATCGAAGTACAAATACCTTCCCTTATATCATGTACTGATGAAATACATATACCTCCCCTTATATCATGCATTGAAGTACAAATACCTCCCCTTATATCATGTATTGATGAAATACATATACCTCCCCTTATATCATGTATTGATGAAGTACATATACCTCCCCTTATATCATATAATGAAGTACATATACCTCCCCTTATATCATATAATGAAGTACATATACCTCCCCTTATATCATGCATTGATGAAGTACATATACCTCCCCTTATATCATGTATCGATGAAGTACATATACCTCCCCTTATATCATGAATTGATGAAGTACATATACCTCCCCTTATATCATATAATGAAGTACATATACCTCCCCTTATATCATGAATTGATGAAGTACATATACCTCCCCTTATATCATATAATGATGTACATATACCTCCCCTTATATCATATAATGAAGTACATATACCTCCCCTTATATCATGCATTGATGAAGTACATATACCTTCCCTTATATCATGTATTGATGAAGTACATATACCTCCCCTTATATCATGCATTGATGAAGTACATATACCTCCCCTTATATCATGCATTGATGAAGTACATATACCTCCCCTTATATCATGCATTGATGAAGTACATATACCTCCCTTTATATCATGTATTGATGAAGTACATATACCTCCTCTTATATCATGTATTGATGAAGTACATATACCTCCCCTTATATCATGAATCGATGAAGTACATATAGGTACCTCCAATAGTAGGTCTTATTATTATACACAACGTGACAAGAATACATGGATAGCATGCATAGCATTGTACATTCAGAATGCAGTATCAATTGTCAGTAAGTTATGATCATTTATGTTACCAATTAAATCCCACAAATATGCAGCATGGCCCAATGCTGATGACATATATTCAGTGTTCTCTCAACTGCCAGTTATGCTTAAGAAATAGTGCACATATTTGAATTTGCCATCAATGTCCATTCACTACTTGTATAAATGTGGGAGCAAAAGTAAAATAATATTTATCATTATTTTGAGAAATTTTATATGGGGATTAGAAGTGTATACACTTAAACAGTGTAGCATGGTGCATTTTTTTAGGGAACTTATCTAGTGCAAAAAGTGGAAAACGTTCATCAGCTTTTTAGCTCATATAAGAGAGTGTCAACAATTACATTTTTTGGCTTCTTCTTGCAAACTGCCAGCTAAAATTCTTTTTATACTTTGTTCATTTTTGCCATACTTTTGGTTGGTTGATTAGAAGGTGGTTTTGGTGATGAAGTTAGGTGGGCATGTTATTAACAGCCAGAACAAAAAATACTTTCTTATATAATATTAATGATCTTATCTACAGCATTGTAAGCTCATTATATCTCCACAACAAGTATTTCAAAATTCATTTACTCAAATCATCAGACATGCAAACTCTAAATTCACAACTAAAACAAATTAACCTTTGATTTGACTAGATAAAAGTTAAGGCAGATTCTATCAGATTATGTTTATACTAAATGGTTTAATTTTATGCTGTTCACAAAATACAAATATATATATATTTACCAAACTACTTTTTGCACAAAGCACAATGACTTTGGGGCCATTTACCATTCGTATGTTAAAAAGTTGTCACCATATATCAAAATTTGATTACAGATGGTGAAAAAATCATATGTATCATATCATTTTCACCCATATTTATTAGTTCTAATTCCCACAATCAATCAACTTTAATATAACAATGACACTTGAGCATGCATGGGTTAGAGTTGAGAAGAACACTGAATAACACACTTATTAAAACATTAAGAACAATAACCCACATCATGGCTGGCACTTATTTCACACCATGTTAGCATTTTGATGGCAACATAAATGTAATAACCTACTAACCTTATGTTTGCTTCATTATCACCAATACAATTGCGATACACTTCATCCACCTTCTTATTCAGTTGAGTTAACATGATGTCCTGTTGATAAGAATATGAAAAACAGACAAACATTTAGTATCTACTGACACAATTTATGTGCCATTAAAACAAAACAGCACACTACACAATCAGAAATAGGCAGAGCCTCCAGTTGTTGTGTAATACTGGTCGGCAGTATACATCGTCTCACAAAGCAAGTCACGTTTAGGCAGCTCAACTCTGTTGAGATTTATTTTAACCAATGAGAGCATGCCTCACTTATTAGAGGTGAGATGTTCCAGTTACATATTCAAAATCACCATAAATACAATGTTGCGACACAAATATTTAATTATACAGTAATGGTACTATTTAAATACATGCAAATATGTCTAACTGATGGTTATATTGTTACCTGGTCCTCTGATTTGAATTCACCAAATGAAAACATCCTACAAAAAGAGAAATCAGATGCAAATAAAAGTTATTAAATCTGTGAAAATTCCACTATAAGATAAAATAACATTCCTAGCACATGTGTCATCATTATAATCTAAAAAACTGTGCCAGTGCAGTGATGTTAGTCATTAAAATAACACAATCACATTTCATTTTGTCGACTTACTTTGACTTGTGCTCCAATTCAGTGGCTTTTTCCTCCTCCCTATCAATAGCACCCATCAACATCTCAATTTGCTGTTTTAAAATATCAGTTTCCCTCTCCATTTTATCTTTCGTTTGTACAAAAGCTTGTTTCATTTCTTCCAGTGCTTCCTCAGTTTCCTGACTATTTTGAATAAGAGACAAGTTCTGCTCCTCTAGTTCTTGGAAGATATCTAGCAACTGATGAGGATCTGTGAAGTACAGATCCAAGGACTGGAAACAGAAATGAGCCAATTGTAACTCCGTATCAACAAAGAAATAAAGCAGAGGGGAGTCATAGAAAGCTTCTTTGTTAACAAGTTAATCATTAAGTAGTTAATATAATAATTATCAGTGAAAACAAATGTGCAAATAAAATAACAGGGCCTGAAAATAGTACCAAATTGAAGTACATATTATAGAAATAAACATAATATTTTTAGTTTTATATAAATACAGTTTTAATTATCAATATTATAGATGATATTTTTTCAAGCCCTGATTGGTGCAATATGGTGCAACAAACCTCATCACTGTCTGAATCAGAGTCAATATTTCCAGAACCAACGCTGTCTGTATCTTGTTGATTAGGCGTTTGGGAATGTCTATTAACAGAAAAAGTATAACAAGAATTTGCATCAGTACAAATAAGGATGACTAATGGATATGAATTTCACTGATGTACATTTAAAAACCAGTACAAGCTTTTCAACACATATAAATAGAGAGTGGAAAAAGCCATCTCAAATCTCATCTTCAACAATTTCATACGTTATGTTTGAATTAGACATATTAATAATAAATGCATATCAGACAGATTAATATTCATAGATTAAATTTTAGCAAAAATGAAATAATAAACAATTTTTAATTATGTGATTCTATTGCAAAAACAGTGTACAGCCAAACCTTTTCCCAGATCCTGCCTTTGTACCACTTTTACTTTGTCTATTTGACTTTGATCTACCGTCTAATGATGGAGTTGGCGATGTGCCACCTTTCTTTTTACCACCTAATGACAATTTTTCATCTTTGTCCTTCCTTTTTTCGGCTCTTCTTTTTGCCTTTGCTGCAGCTTTCTCTGCCTTCCACTCTGGTGATGTCAAATGGTCCAAGAACTTCTTGTACAGTTGATACTCTTTAAGTAGATCTTCGTTTTTGGAGATTTCACTGGATGTGTCAAATGTGATATACCGGTAATCAACAGTTTTGAAATGTGATGATATATTCGCTCTGTTGTACTTTCTAAATATTGTATGTTTTAACTTTATATACAGGTAATTTGAGAATCGAATTTGTTAAGCTTATTTTTCCAAACTATTGTGATAGAACATGGTCCCCTAGTAGTAATAGTTGTAGTAGTAGTACTGTATGTTCTCACGATAGGCAGTACTGTTGTCTATGGTACAACATTATATGTAGTAAATATTTTGCTCACCTCTTAATCAACATTATCTGGGCATTAATTTTCTTGATCTCTGCAACTTTCTCTAATTTAGCTTTTGTTTCTGCTTCAGCTCTGAAAATAGATATTAAATCAGATACCAGAATCAAACATCCATTGTTACAATAACTAAATAGATAATTTAACTAAGCACTATCACACAGTAACATGTTAACAAGTCATTGAAAATGACACAGTCCCCATTAAATTTTTTAAAGTTCTCTTCGTGCTCGTCATATTAAAGCGGAGTGGTTGTCGCGAGCGTGTCCTTGAAACTTGAGTTCCAAGTGGCGTATACAACAGATTGTGTTCCTTGTAGTAGAAATATGGCCAAAAATAAAAACAGCCATTATTCGGCCATCTTTGATCTGATTATGAAACACACTGATATGTATGATGTACGGTATGTGCCAAATACGAATGAAAATGGTACATAAATTGTGGAAATATAGTAGTAAGGCCAAAAAGTCAGATGGCTGTCAATCGGCCATCCTTGACCAGATTTTGAAACAAATTGTCATGGACATGCATCCTAACATGTATAAAGTACATGTATGTGCCAAATTTGAATGAAAACTGACAGAGCACGTCTAAGATACCGCATAAAAAAAACCAAGATGCCTGCCAGTCGACTATCTTTGATCCAATTGCGAAATAAATCGTCATGGACATGTATCCTAACATGTATAATCTATGTACCAAGTTTGACTGACAATTGACAAAGCATGTCCAAAATACAACATTTTCAAAAAACAAGATGGCTGCCAGTCGGCCATTTTGAATCGAATCGCTGAACCACTGCATGTGCATATGTCCCACATAAGGTACTAGGCACATGCAAAGAATGAACGGAATCGGTCCACAGGATTCTGAAATACGACTCTGGACAGACTGACGCACGAACGGACGGACAGACTCAGGAACTCACGGACGGTCGGGGACATGTATCCTAACATGTATGATCTATGTATTAAATTTGAATTTAACTGACAAAGCATGTCCAAAATACAACATTTTCAAAAAAAAACAAGATGGCTGCCTGTCGGCCATCTTTGATCCAATTGTGAAATAAATCATCATGGACATGTATCCTAACATAATCTATGTACCAAGTTTGAATGAAAACTGACAAAGCATGTCCAAAATACAACATTTTCAAAAAACAAGATGGCTGCCAGTCGGATCGAATCGCTAAACCACTGCATGTGCATATGTCCTACATAAAGTACTAGGCACATGCAAAGAATGGACAGAATCGGTCCAAGGGATTCTGAGATATGACTCCAGGCCGGTGCACGGACGGAGACCAAATTATAAGTCCCTGTTTTCGGACTTCGTCCGAACGGGGACTACCGGTAATAACTAACGGTTGATAGTATTATTATAAATCTAGCACCAAAGACAATAAAATGTACTGTTCGATAAAAAGATACATTTGCATTTGTTCCAATCATCAACATTTTTATATGTGGTAAACTACATGTACATGGCCAACATTGAGCGTGTTCCAGGTTACTGATGTAACATTGAAAAAACATTTTTTGGTTTACATTGAATGCAGAAGTACTGCACCATGTGGAAGTTTGCACAGCACAAAAAGTTTTCTGTTGGCGATTTTAGTCGTTATATCTCATTCAATTATTACTACAAGCAAAGAAAGGATGAATAATCATAATGTTATGAGAATATAGCAAAGTATATCTCAGACAGTACTGAATCACATCAACCTCTGCTACACTTCTATCGATACAATCGGTGTACGGCCATTGGGAATACTTTGTGATAACTTCATATTAGTAATATAACATACCTAATAATACTATAGCTAACATTGTCACTTACATTTTAATAGCTTCAACTGAGTTTTTATCATTTTCTTTTAAGAATTCATCAAACATGGCTGCATCTTCCTCAAGATATTGCTCAGCAAGTTCTAGTTTGCGTTCTTCAGCCTGGGCAATCTCTTCTAATTTTCTCATTTCATCTCTCTTAACACCCAGAGAATATTGAACAAGAAACATTTCCCTCTTTTTGGCAATATAGTCAGTTAAATTTTCCTTTTCCACATGACGATCTGAGTGAGAAACAAATTAAAGAAGTTAATAAGTGCATTATTTGCATAAAAATGATGTGTGTTCAGTGTATACTATAGTTTTTGTGTGCATATATGGGTAGTCAATTTAGCTATTAATATTTATCACTTGGTAAAACATATATTAAAACCAATTGGTATTACTGGTTCCTACCTCGTGTAACGGCCAAAGTGAACTGTGGATCATCTTTTACAGCTACTGCTTTGTCTGTATCCTCAGCATCCCCTTCAAGTTCATCATCTGAATCATCTGTGGGTTGTCTCATTGATGCTCTCTTAGCATTCACTCTTGATGCATAAGTTGTTTTTTCGTAAACTTTCAAACCTCTTTGCTTAATACGTTCCTGAATAAAATTTAGAGTAGTGGTAAATTGCTGAAATAGACATTAGTAAGAAGCCATGATACATCTTCCTTACGAGTGAGTCAGTTTGAGTCGCACTTTTGCAAGCAGTACATGTTTACCCTGATTAACATTGTATTTCCCTTCTGTGTATCCATTGTTACTGCTGTTTTATGTTCATTTACTGCTTTCTATCACCGTTACCTCATATTCGAATTGAATGTAAGTTTTTATATTTTGTAAGTTGATACTATGTCCTACTATGAAATTCTTCCCGTTTGAGTAAACAAAATGAATGTAAAACTCTTTAAATAGAAATGTGTTCACTTACTGCTTTCTTTCTCTGCCTTTCCTTGTCTCTCATCAAGAAAATGTCATTTTCTGGTGGCATTGTAAATGGATTGTGATCTGCAGGCATTTCATCTGATTCTGTATGCACAATGTAACTGAGTTATGACTTGAATAGGAAGTATGGTTCATATATTGATGTAATAATAATTTCAGCAAGTGGTGTAATCTTTGATGCACAAACAATGACAACAAAGGTGACTTCAAAAACCTGGGAACTATATTTGTATATCCCTGATTATATGCTAAGTTGGCAACTACAAGTAGTAAGTATCTTCCCATTTCATTTACAGCTATAACATGCAATTAGTACAAATGTTACCTGATAAAGCTGTACCACTATGTGACTCTGATTTAGTTGATTGTGGAAATGTTACTCTGCCTGACTGTCTGGATGTAGCATCACCTAAAGACAATAACAGTGAGCAAAAGAGTGATAATGTGAATAGTTTTAGATACAAATATTATTTGTGATATGCATGCTACATTACTCCACACTAGGTGATATATTGTCATGATGTATGACTGGATAATAGTAATTTATTTAATGTTTGCTTAACTGTATTAAAGTTCAAGGAAATCAGTTTTTTGTTGTTGACCTTTTACTATAACACACAGTTTGACAGAAAGACCTGGAAAACATTAGCTCCATAGTTCTTGGTATTCTTTGTAATGATATTTTAGTAATTTCTGGAATATTTGTTGTGTCTTAAAGTAGAAGCCTACTCATAAATTAAAAAACCCAGAATTTATTTATTTTGCAATATATTGTATTCCAAGGCAATATAAGGATATTGACCTAAAAAAAGTTGGGGGTCACCAGCCTTTTTTTCGAGAAATTGATGGTTGTATTTTAGTGGAAGGTCACCATTTTGACACTATCATAACACTTTCACCACAGGTTCCTATGGCAGAGATATTATCTCAAAATCTAACCTTGTGACATAGGCTGAAAAAAAATCATATATTGTTAATGATGGAGTACTTTTTGTTGCTCTGAATTATTTAAAAAATCTGGGTTTTAAAAAGTGTCAACAATTCAATTTTTCTTTAACATTGTGTTCTATGGAATTGTTTTCAAGAAATATTAGGACACGTTTCTCAAAAAGCATGACTGTAACACACAAAATAATGCTATTTTATTGTACCATCATGGGACATTAGCTTCATGATTGTACATAATAAAAAAATGAACATTGTCATGCAATTTATTACCAATTTTGTCAAAAATTATGACTAGGCTTCTCTCTTACAGTTGTAATTTTTAGATATTGGGATTTTTTCCCCACAAATGTGCAATGCAAAAGTGTAAACACAAATCAATAAAAAAACACAAATATTTACTCAAATAATATGATCAACATATCAGTGATGAATAACATGCACAGCTAGAAAAAAAATAGTTCGAGTTGAATGTTTGTACAGTTATTTGTAAAGCAGTTACATAATCAATTCTTGATTCCTAGTGATTGATAGTGGGCATGTTATTCTTTTTGTTTAATGAATATTTAATGGATGGTCGATAAATTTAATTTCTAGTGATTTTTTAAAATTTAATTTTGAAATATTATTCTTAGCATCCTATTTTTCAAGGTGTTTCCCTACTATACACATTTAATATTTGATCCAGTCTCGTACTTCGTCTCACTTTGCATGTGTTGACATGAGAAATTATAATAATGTTGAAAAATACATTAAAGGTAATGTAATTAGAGACCAAAACAATTATGTTTATGTACACAATAATCACAACATTGTAAGACGACAGCGATTAGTATTATGGTACGTGTGTGCTGATTGGGTGGAAGGAAAGTATACATGTTCGTTACAGTTTTGACCTGCGAACAGAACTTACGGGAACGTTTTCCAGATGTCACAGAACCTGGAGAGGCTGGGGTTGATCTGGCACTCACTGACATTTTTTCTTGCTGCAATAAAAAACGTGAAACATTACATTATAATACAACGTACATGAAAGAACGTAAATAATGAAAGACGGTGGTCAGTACCTCGAAAGAGATTTGTCACTTGTATAAATCAGTGTCGAATATTTCCATTCCTGTTGACATTTTCACACTTTCTTACGAATTAATAAACTCCACACACATGTAACGTGTTTATTTCACGTACCTGTTATAAGATATATTAATGTAAGGCGATTTACTACTGCAAATAGCATCCAAACTGTCGCTCGAATTGGTTTTTATACCGAGCTCCGTACAATAACAAAGTCCGAAGTGACATAGCAACAACGTTAGTTTGTTTTCGCTTACTTTCCACCAGTGCGCAAATACGGGATTCACTCCGGATTTCTAAAACTTGAATGTTCATGCGGTTTTCTTCAAGTAAAATGGACAGATTCGAAATATTAATTATTATATTATAATCTTTTACGTTTGTTTTAGCACGAGTATCAAAAGTGTGCTTGATATACGTTATTACCTACGTGCAAAGATATAATGGGTGTGAAACCCCCTGACATCCAAAGGCCAACACACGGAGGCATGAGCGTACTCTGACTGGGACGTGTGGGGTTGATAGTAGAGATCGGCAGTCATGACGGACTCTAAGAAACTATTAATCGAGCATTTCAAGCAGGCAGTCCTTGTCTGTAGGAATGGAGAAAAGGTTCTCAAAGGAGATGATATGAAGAATGTCGCATTGATGGAAGAGGATGGCGATAATGGCATCAGTATTGTAATAGACAGGTATTTATGTATATGATAATGACATGTGGGCATGGCATAATTTATAGTGACACCAGTATTGAAATAGACAGGTATTTATGTATATGATAATGGCATGTGGGCATGGCATAATTTATAGTGACACCAGTATTGAAATAGACAGGTATTTATGTATATGATAATGACATGTGGGCATGGCATAATTTATAGTGACACCAGTATTGAAATAGACAGGTATTTATGTATATGATAATGGCATGTGGGCATGGCATAATTTATAGTGACACCAGTATTGAAATAGACAGCTATTTATGCATATGACATGGGACTGGTGCATAATTTATAATAATACTTGTGATGTAATAGACAGGTATTTATGTGTAAGATATGTGGGCGGGGCACTTCCATAAATGACAAGCATGGTTGTACTTTTAAACTTCGAACTATATATATATATATATATATATTATGGACTATGTCAGAGGTACATTACTTGGGGTTTGCAACACGCATAGTACTGTATGGTGACATCATGTCAAGATCCCATTCAAGTCTCATCTTGTAGATAGCGAGACTGATGCTACGACCTTCTGACATGACATAGGCGGTTTGTAATAAAACAATAAAACATGTATTACCACATTCATAGTGAAAAAATGTAATACATCGATATTTACAGAAAATATAGTTGTCGTAATCCGTCATATCGTGAGCAGCTATTTTGATACACCTGGACATCCCAGTATCCTAGTTACCCTGGGCATGCGCATTTCCATTTTTCTGAGTTGGAACGCTTATGCGAGAGTGATATTGAAACGAGATCTTGATATCATGTCACCGTAGTTGCAAACCCCAAGTAAAGTACCTCTGCTATGTATAATAGTATGAGTAGTAATATTTATTGCATCTTTAGAAATCAAACATTTCTATCAGTTGTTAGCAATAAATATATATGTAACAAAAACTAAAATGTAATACAAGTAGCATTAAAAGAAAAAATAAATATACAATTTCATTTTATCCTGTTAAGCATCAGTGCTTTGATCATTTCCCCATCTCTATTCTGAAGTAGATATATAGGTTTCTGGCATGAATTGGTGATTTTAGCAGGGAATGCACTATTTGTCAGGATTTTTTGTTGGTCCAAGTGATATTTACGACAAATTGGTAAAAAGTGTAATTCTTCAATCTCATTTAGCGATCATTGTTTACAAATTCTATTGTCTAAGGGTGTCTTTGCTTGGGTATTCCTTAATCATTTCTCAATTCCTAAATTGTGGTTACATTATAATACTTTTTTAAATGCGAAAGAAATTGCAATTCTACTTTGGTCGGTTTAATAATAAAGTAAGCAATTCTAACAAATTGGTATAACTACTGGTAGGTCAGTGACTGGCTCTCATAACTATGGTGGTTGAATATGTATGTGTGTTTTGTTTCCAGCAATGGTCTTATTGAAGCTGTTGACTATGATGCAAAGATTCAAGAAAAATATAATAATACAAAGTTTGACAACAAAATTAATGCAAAAGGAAAATGTGTAGTACCAGGTATTTATGGTATTATTTCTTCAATTTTAAAAATACCAAACCATCCAGACCCAACTTAGTATTCCTTGAATACCCAAGTGTAATTTGTTGAACACTTTAAATCATTTCAGGGGGGATTGGCACAAGCGGGTGCCGTCTGATTTAAAAGGAGCGTTTCAAAGTCAGTTGTTCGTAGCCCATCGTCAAAGCAACATCGCCCTGTTAACGAACATATGAAATTATTTCAGTGATTTCTTTACAGGATAAATCTCAACGAAATGTAGAAACATCACATAGAAATAGACAGGCTCTAAAATTATGTCTATTGCAAAACAAATCAACTGAGAACGAGTTTGCCGCCACTAGTTTATTCAATTTGTTCCATTTCAAACTGTGCATGCACACACACAATGATTTCTCTAAAATGCATATTAATTAGGTAACTTGTCTCTGGTAAAAGTTATTAAAAACATTTTGAGCAATTTTGAGCAATAGTACTAGATTGAAATATCAATGTGCTTCTGCATTTTCCATGAATTTCATAACTTGTTGTGATTATGTTAAAGAAAAAACCTGTGGTAACTTTCTACAGTTTTCTGGAGTCTGATCAAAAACGTGTCTCAAAAAACACTTTTACGTCATAGTTTTTCAATAATTTTTTTACAGCTAGTAATGATAGAATTATCAATTTATAATTATCATGTATGCTATCGGAAAACATTTTGGCTCAATTTTACTGAAAAGAATAGTTTTTCATTGCTCATGAATATAAATTTATACAAATGAGATGATTGTTTCAATCAATCGGGTCATGCAACCCCCCTGTATCATTTGACACATTGTACACAAATAATTCAAAACATCATCTCACCATTTCTGAGATGAGAAATTCTGTACACTTTATGTAAACAATTCTCAGATGAACAGAAAACAAAACATATTTGTGAATATACAAGTCATTGAAAATGACACAGTCCCCATTAAATTTTTGAAAGTTCTCTTTGTGCTCATCATATTAAAGCAGAGGGGTTGTCGCGAGCGTGTCCTTGAAACTCGAGTGTTCCGTGTAGTAGTAATATGGCCAAAAATAAAAACAGCCGTTATTCGGCCATCTTTGATCTGATTATGAAACACACTGATATGTATGATGTATGTGCCAAATATGAATGAAAATGGTACATAAATTGTGGAAATATAATAGTAAGGCCAAAAAGTCAGATGGCTGTCAATCGGCCATTCTTGACCAGATTTTGAAACAAATTGTCATGGACATGCATCCTAACATGTATAAAGTACATGCATGTGCTAAATTTGAATGAAAACTGACAGAGCACGTCCAAGATATCGCATAAAAAAACAAAAACAAGATGCCTGCCAGTCAACCTTCTTTGATCCAATTGTGAAATAAATCCTCATGGACATGTATCCTAACATGTATAATCTATGTACCAAGTTTGAATGAAAAGTGACAAAGCATGTCCAAAATACAACATTTTCAAAAAACAAGATGGCTGCCAGTTGGCCATTTTGAATCGAATCGCTAAACCATTGCAAGTGCATATGTCCCACATAAAGTACTAGGCACATGCAAAGAATGAACGGAATCGGTCCAAGGGATTCTTAGATATGACTCCGGACGGACGCACAGACGGAGACCGAATTATAAGTCCCTGTTTTTGGACTTCGTCCGAATGGGGACTAATAACCAGTACGCTCAAAATGTTACCAGTGCCTTTCAAGATCTCACTAATTCAAGCAACTTTAAAAAAAAAAAAATTAATATTCAGAACAAGCTTTTGAATTCACAGATGATCTAATGTAGTGTTGCAATTTTTGCCTGGGTCTGTTAAATGCAACTCTAATAAGAATCCTATTCATCTGTTAAATCTGGTGCTGCATGTCTTTACATTATTAAGTTCCTCCGCCTTCTGCATCCTGTTATTGTAACTGAGCTATCTGAATTCTTCTTTGTTGCATTTCAACCATCGATAATGTTAAGCTAAGTATTTTGAAGTACCGGGGCAATTTTTCAGTTGAGCCAAATCTATTACACACATTCAATTAGTATGATTTGGTTTCAGTTATGTTGAACATAATGTATTTTGAATGGGATTTGTATATTAGGGTATGCAACTTTCACAACTATGTAATCTCATGAGAAGCAAAATCTTATGCGAATCTCTGAAAGCGATCTCGGTGCACATTGATCAAATTCTAACCAATAGTGTTACAAAATATAGTGGGTGCTTAAAATGTTCAATTGCAAAATGAGCAAGAATATTGCAGCATTAAAAAAACGCAAAACACACATATTATTACATGCTTAAAAGCTACAAACACTATTAAAAAATTGTCTGAGATGCACATGAATCAGTTTTTTCACATACTCTCTAATTAAACTTATTTAAATTACAGACGTGTATTTCTATGGTCATAATAAATAATATTTCAGTATACAATAAATGTGGCTATATATTTTTGGCTACTAGTATATGTACTTCTATTGGAATACAGTGTACCATACATGTATGTATAACGAAATTAACCACTGGTGTGTTTGATTTGTAGGTTTAATTGATGGACATACTCATCCGGTCTGGGTTGGGGATAGAGTTCATGAGTTTGCTATGAAGGCGAGTATAATATTTTGCTATACTGTATTGGAAGATTTACACATATAGTATGTACAGTGAACGGCAGCTGGTCACATACCCAGCTGATGCATGTCTTAACAAACAACTTCATATGTTTCGATAACAAATAATTACTAATTATACCACAAATTCAGGTAAATGCACCAAATCATGCACAAATAAATACAGTGGCTTTAATAATTTCTGGACTGTGATTTACTCATTTCCTTAGTCTTTCACAACGGTGGCTATGATGTCACACTTTACCCACAATCCTTGGCTGGAGATTCAAGATGGTGGACTACATAATACTGATGAAAAGTTGAATATCTAGAGAATGAAAAGTGATATAAGAAAACTGTAAATTGCATTCTCCTACATTTGTGGAGCTCTTTCATCTGGGAGCATAATGTTGTTTGCCTTTACTTCCTCTTTAAATCCAGTGACGTTTAATGATTGAATGAAAATACCGATATTGTCATGTATCTTAATGTTTTACGATATTGTGTTTTTCAGTTGGCGGGGGCAACCTATATGGATGTACATAAGGCAGGTGGAGGAATTAATTTCACCGTGGAACACACACGTAGTGCTTCTGAAGACGAATTATTTCTACCTTTCAAAGAGAGGTTAGAAAGAATGCTGCATTGTGGGACAACCCTTGTAGAATGCAAGAGCGGATATGGCCTGAATGTATCAACTGAAATTAAAATGTTGAAAGTCATAGAGAGAGCGAAGAGAGAACTCCCAATAGACATATCCAGTACTTTTTGTGGAGCGCATGCTGTCCCGAAGTAGGTAGCATTATTTGCCATCAAAATCCATTTTAGTTCCTCTGCACAACTGCCTCCATTCAGCCACATTTGATGTTTTGTAATGAATGTTGAGGTCAATATACGAGTCAATTTTGAAGTTTATTTTCATATTGCAGGAACAGGTTGTCAAGCAGCTCATTTGGCTGATATTATTTTATATTGATAAAAAATAAATGAATCATCCTATATCTATTTCACATTCATACAAACACAAGATTATTTATTTATTCAAATTTGTTCATTCAAAACCAAATTCTTTTCATTGTAACATGCATGCTTGTTAACATGCCAACAAATATCCTTTAATTTGTGAAAGGGGAAAAACAGCAGAAGAAGCAACAGAAGATGTCATCAGTGTTCAGTTACCACAGATTGTAGAACTGATGAAAAATGGTGAATTACAAGTGGATAATATTGATGTATTTTGTGAGAAAGGTGTATTTAATACTGAGCAGACTAAAAAGATTTTAAATGCTGGTGTAGAAGCTGGACTCGCTATAAATTTTCACGGTGATGAACTTCATCCAACTAAATCCGCAGAGGTATTTACAAATGCTAAGAATAAATATTCAACTAAAGCATCTCCTTTTAACATTGATCCATTCTCATATCAATAATAGAGTACTTTTTAAATCTGCTACTTCTTTTGAGATCTATCTCAGATTATTATGTAGTGTGCCCATTTGTGGCCTTCTCTTCTCTGTATCGTTTGTGTATGCTAAGAATGTCTTATGCATAAGGGAATTGGTATAAAAATGGGATGTGCAGTAGTCTTGACATTTATTTGTACAATGGATCCAATAAATATGAGATTATATTTGGTAGTTCTAGGATCAATCTGATTAAAAGATATTTTTTTTATGA